TTCATTGAAAACGCAATTATTTTTGTAAGTCTTTGTTTACAAATTAAATCAATAAAATACAGATACACAAATTTATATTTACATAAAAAATACATCTTTTTAAATAAAAAATAAGTATATATTAATAAAATCTGTAATTTATAATAAACTTTTAAGATTTTGACAATTTAAAAAATTTATTTTTGTTTTGTTTAAATTTAAACATTTATTTTTGTAAACATATAATAATAGTTTATAAGATTTACGGCTTTGCGTTTGTGGCTCCGAGAATGAGCCATAGTATTGATAATATTCTTAAACATTTTATGCTAGAAATCTCAAATCTTTAGAATTTGCGAATATTCTTTTTATTCTTTTGCACCAAAATGTTTTGAGAACATTCAAGTTTTTTATGTTTCCATATATGTCGTAAAACAAAAATTTTTTGTTTTGTACATAAACTTAAATGTTCTTAAAACAACTAAAAAACCTGGCCAGTTTTTCGCAACTAAATATAATTTCCATGGTCAATATTCGAGAGCGATCGCTCCCGCTTCCCAACAAAGTCTGTATATATATATATATATATATATATATATATATATATATATATATATATATATATATATATATATATATATATATATATATATATATATATATATATATATATATATATATATATATATATATATATATATATATATATAAATATATATATATATATATAAATATCTATATACATATATATATAAATATATATATATATATATATATATACATATATATATAAATAAATATATATATATATATATATATATATATATATATATATATATATATATCAGGGGCTATTCTAGGAAAATAATTTGGGCGGCGGTACCCCTCTGCCTTACTCCCCCCTCTTAAAATTTAAGTAATGGGGGGGGGGGCCGAAACATGTTTAGAAAATTTCAAAATTTTTGTTTTTAGATAAACAAAAATTTAGTTAGTTTTTAGCTTTATTATTATGTTTAAATGTATTTGAAATAATTCACTATAATTCATTCCTGTTAAAATGATCTGTTACATAAATTTTATAAGGAAGTTGCTACCTAAAAATAAATATTGCACAGAAGTTTCACTGAAATAAAAATAAATTAACAAATAGCCAAATTACCTTAAATTTACTAGATTGCAAATGTTTATGGGGAAAAAAACCCACATATTTACTGCAACAAACTTACTAATCTCATTGAGTCCATAACTTATATGTATAACTTCCATGTATAAAATAATTATTGTATGAAACTGCTGTTGATGTAGTTAATAAAAAAAATCTTTAAAATAATTATTGCCATATTTTTGCCAAAAATTAAAACAAATAAATATAAGCTAAATAAAAAAACATTACTACTTTAATCAACCTAAATGCGTTTACTAATGTACGAACTTTAAAAACAATGGTACTGGTGGTCCGGTGAATATACGCGCTAAATTAAAAAGTTTTGTCCAAGTCTCTTCAAAATAAAAAACCATAAATTGAAACTTATTTTCATATTCATTTATTTTTATATAACGGCTGCAAGACAACGGATCTATTCAAAATTAATGCCAAATAAATATATATATATATATATATATATATATATATATATTTCTCTATCATATTTATAAATATTTACATATATGTTAAATAAATTTAAAAAAAAGGTCTTCAATTACCTGAATTTGGGCGGCGCCCAAATCGGCGCCCAAATCGGCGCCCAAATACAGTCAGCACTGTCGAAAACGGTCTAGAATAGCCCCTGTATATATATATATATATATATATATATATATATATATATATATATATATATATATATATATATATATGTATATATATATAAATATATATATATATATATATATATATATATATATATATATATATATATATATATATATATATATATATATATATATATATATATATATATATATATATATATATATATATATATATATATATAGTGAGAAACCCCTGTCAAAAAAAATCCTCATATTCTTAAATCAGTCAATGAATGTACAACCACTGACCCAACCCTTAATTAAAGGTACCTTAACAGTGACGAACCCAGACCTGTTTTAGTACTGCTGGAACGGTATGGTCGCCTAAAAAAAGTGCCAAAAAACTATTTTTATTTTTTAATATTTCATTTGTCTTTTTGTTAAAAATAGAAAAAAAAATTTCTGTCTTTAAATGCAGTAATATATAAATAACTTTTAATTTATTTTAGCTACCTCATTTATTCTTCAGGTCTAAAAAATGAATTGAAAAGAAATTCCTTTTTAACTTAACTACGTGACATTTTTATGTAATTATGAGATGTAACTGTCCTTCCATTACCAACTGAATGTTAATTTTAAGAAAAAGAATGTCGTTACGAAAATTAATTTTGAAAACTGGTTGCAAAAGTTTATAACAATAGAATGTATAAAAAAAATTGCTTTTTCGAAAGATAGAACAATATTAAAATATTCATTCAGAGTAAAGTTA